GTGTAGGCATAAACAAGGTAACAGACATTGCTACTGTGGAATTTCAAGTACAATACAAATGTGAATGTGTTATATTTGCATAAGAATGCAGTTATTTTGAAAGGTCACCTGGCAAGATCAGGTTTTTATGTGGTGTGTGGAGGAGACAATGTTCTGAAAATCCACTGGGAGAAGCAAATTCATAAATATGAATAAATAGAACCGTCCTGATAGATAATAAAATACTAATCAGCATGTGAATTTGGATGCTTTTTATTTTCCCAATATGTAGTTGAACTTTGGGTAAAGTATCTTATGAATTAGATACTTTATTTATAGAGTATCTTTAATACATCTTTATTTATAGAGACCACATGCTGGAAAACTTTTTATTTTCTGTTGATCCTCACCAGAGGATATTTTTTCCATGCTTTTCAGAGACAGCAGAAGAGAGAGAAAGTGGGAGAGAGAGAAAGGCAGAGAAATCTCCATGTGAGAGAGACACATTGATTGGTTGCCTCCCGCATATGCCAGACCAGGGGGTGGGAAACAAACTTGCAACCCAGGCACATGCCCTTGACTGGGAATTAAGCCCGCAACCCTTCGGTGCATGGTCCAATGCTCTAACCACTTAGATACACTGGCCAGAGATGGAAAACTTCATTTTTTAACCTTTCAATATTTGCAAATTCAAGTTCTAAAATTTATGTTATCAAGCAAGAATTTTTTATTACATATTTTTTAGCCTGTAAAATCCTCACCATTTCTACCTATAATAGTTGCTGCACTGGTCTCTCCTAGGTCTCTCTGCTTCTTGTCTCAATCTCTCTAACCCTTCTTTCATAATATTGCCAGAAAGATCTTTCTACAGTACCTCTATGGTCATGTCACATCTGGTCAGAATAGTACAAAGGCACCCCATTATGTAATGACTAAATTAAACTAGTTACCTGTCATTCAGTGTCTTTTAATATCTAGCATGTACTACAATTTCAGCTTCACAAATACTATTTTTTAATAATATTAAAGAACTTGTGAGTCCTATACATGGTTAATCTCTCATCCCTTCACATATTTGCACTTTCTATGTTATCCTTTATACTAAAAGTCTAATATGCTAAGTGTCTGGTTGTCCAGTTAACCATTCAAAGTTAATAGGCTAAGGCTGCTCAACTGCTCGCTATGATGTGCACTGACCACCAGGGGGCAGGTGCTCCCACTGATAGATTAGCATGCTGCTGGATCTAGCTTATCAGAACTGAGCAAGATGGACCAGACATGCCCTGGAGCCCTCCCACAGTTCCTCCCTGGCCATGATCATGCACTGATTGGGTCCCTTGGCCTAGCCTGTGCCCTCTTGCAGTCCGGGACCCTTCAGGGGATGTTGGAGAGCCAATTTCAGCCTGATCCCACTCAACGCAGGAGCTTCCTCCTGGTGATCAGTGTGCTCCCACAGGGGGAGTGCTGCTCAGCCAGAAGCCAGGCTCACGGCTGGCAAAAACAGCCGTGGTGGTGAGAGCCTCTCCTGCCTTCACAGCGGCATTAAGGATGTCTGACTGCCGGCTTAGGCCCACTCCCTGTGGGCTTCAGACTGTAAGAGGGCATAGGCCAGGCTGAGGGACCCCTCCCCATCTCACTGCACAAATTTCATGCACCAGGCCTCTGGTTATATTATAATGCTATATATCTTGGAATGCCTTTCTCAGACTTTTGTGGCTTGACAAGTTTTTAGTCATCCTCCAAAATTCAACTGTCAATTTTGTAAGCCTTTCTGACTTGCCAGATAAACTCACAGGAAGGCTGAGATTGTCATAATGCTGAATCAAGCACTTAAAATTAGATGCAATTTGGGTTCCCCAGAGTTTGCTGAGTCTGGGATAGGACTGGACCTGTTGGGGTGAGTGAAATGATTCTATATTCAGGGGAAGAACCACCTGAAAAGAAAATAAGTGGACCAGACTCACAGCTTCAGATAATAATTCTCCATCCATCCATCCACTTATTTATTCACAGATATTTGTTGAACACCCACTCTAAGCCAGGCATGCACTAGGTACCTGGCTTAAATACTAAATCAAAAAGAGGCAGCCCATGCCTAGAGTTTTTAATATCAAAACAGGGTTGTTTGTAGAACAAATATTAAAGATAACCATGATTTCAAAGAGATCAGACTAGTTATGGGGTCTATTTCAATAGTTTTTAACAAAAAAAGGGACATATAGTAATAAGTAACAAAGATTACTTTGAATCTAGATTCAAGCCAGATTCTTTATCATTATTGTCTCTTGATGTATAAACCAAGAACACATCAACTGGAGAAAGATTCTTTGATAATTGGAGACATATCTATAAAATTAAAAATATTTATCATATGAGTTATCATCTGTTTTTACTTTATTAGTTTTTAAAAAGCTAGATTTGACTCATACGTTTTCCTAAACAGAGCACTGTCACGATGTATGGAAACCAGGACCAAATAGCTGGCCAGGTAAGCTGGAGAGACAGCTTCCATCACAGGCCGCAGCCACAACTTTCCTCAGCGAGAGAACCACCGATTTACATTCAATGGCCTGAATTAAGTCAGCAGCCTGCAGTTCATCCTCCCCAAGATGAACTGTAAACTACTCATTGCAACTTTAAAATAAAGATATTTGCCCTTTAATTAATAATTACTTATTTCCTCCATCTAATCAATGGGCATAAAGTTTTTGTTAAGCAAGATGAGTAAGTCCTAGAGATCTGCTATTAACAATACCACTTACATAGTTGTTAAAAGGGTATATTTCATGTTAAATGTGCTTACCATCATAAAATAAAATAAAAAATCGGGACACTTAAGTAGCCGGCCAAATGACTGGTTAAGCCATCAATCAGAAAAAATTTATGGCAAAGAAGATCCAATTGAGAAGAATTAAGGAAAACAATAAGACTTGTAGGACTAGATGGTGCCTTGGAGGTTACCTGATTCAATCCTTCTCCCTTACCCACAGTCTCCTGGACACACACACACACACACACACACACACAGAGTCCAGGACCAGAATTCGTATTTCTTGACAACGCAATGTCCTTCAAAGGCTGAAAGGCTGCAATAATGTGTTTCCTAGATCCTTCTCTTCCTCTCCATTTTTCCCAGCAGCAGGGTCACACCCTTGATACCTCCTGCTTCCTACCAGGTGTCTCTCATCCTGGCTTATCCCAATATTTTTGGAAGATTTGTAAAGCATAATTTGATGTTTTTCCTTCCCACTCAAATTATCTCTGTCAATAAAAAAATAAAAATAAAATAAAATCTCTATCTGGCCATTATATAGGAAACAAAGAATAAAATCTTGACTCCAACATTTAAGGTCTTCAACCACTTTGTTCTATTTTTTCTCCTTTTTATCTCTTTTTACTATAACTCTTAATCTGATCAAAATGGATTATTCATGCTTCTTTGCGTGCAGAACCTGAGCTTCTTTGTCTCAATCGTTGGTCCTGTCGGTCCTTATCTCCTGCACCTCTACTCAGTATCACATCAAACATCATCCAAGGTCCAGAAAAATGCCAATGAAACCTTTCCCAACCCCTTCCAACTAAAGGTCATGTCTTTCTGTTATTCTCTTCCACACTTTAATTCTCTCTTAGCATCTCTCTCTAGTTCATGTCTTCCAGGAGTGGGGAACCTTTTTTCTGCCAAGGGCCATTTGGGTATTTACAATATCATTCACTTAATATAATTCAGTTAATATAAATTTATGTTTCCATGAAAAAAGCTTCTAGATTTATTGAATTTTGGGTTCCACCTGTGGTTGCCTTGACAGGGCCAGTTCCTTGCTCCTAGGAGTTGTTAAACTAAAACATCAATGGGTAATATAGGAATAATGCATCTTTTAAAAGTGTTTTTTTTAATCTACCAATGATGCTAATTATGCTTTGAAATTTAAACTAAGAGGAAAAACTATGACTATGGTAAAGCTCCCTTCAAAAATATTTTTAATTTTCAATTATTTTATTTATATCACAGGTGCAGAACCCTTCTTTCCAATATCTATTCTAAAATACTGGCCTTGTATTAAAACAAAAACAAAAAACAAAAAAAAACAAAAAACTTGTTCCAGTCAATTATAGAATAATAATATTTGAGGGGGGAAAAAGATCTTCAAAATTCATCTTATCTCATTCATACCCCCAACCCATGTGTATATATAAAAACTTATTCTAACTATCTTCTAAGATAAATTGCATAGAATTTCTAGTAATCCATTCTGATATCATTGTTGTTATTATTATTATTACATCTCCATTTCCCACATCCCTCACTCACTTCGCTTTGACAACCATCATCTGTTCTCTGTATCTATGAGTCTGTTTCTGTTTTGTTTTGTTGAGACATTTTGGTTACAATATTACTCCATAATAAGTTAAACCGAGTTCCTCATACTATTATTTCATTTGCTTTTGAAGACAGTACAGTGCAGTGTTTAAGACACATGGCTCTCTCGTCTATAAAATGGGAATAACATGCTTATTTCATAGGATATTTTCAAAGATTTGATGGAAGCATATATGTAAAGTATTTAGAACAGTGACTGAAACCTAGTAAATGATATATGTGTTGCTATTTTTTTTCTTCTTACCTTTCTTTGAATGAAGACGTTTAATAGTTTGATTCATAACCATTTGGATCTGGAGGCTTTGAATAAATGAATCTTTTTCTGGACTGAATAACCACAGTTCCTTTGTGCTATATTTTTTTTATAAGACTAATTTTCCAAATTTTTAAAAATCCCCCTTGTGACCCTTCATCTCAGTGAAGGGAAAGAGTTCATATTTTGCTATTGCAACAGAATATTTTAAACCAAGACTCTAAAAGTCCCATCTAAATAGACTCTATGAACACATACCTTTATCGGGTCATTCTCCATGTTATTCATAATGGGCATATAACACTGCGTAAGACAAGCAAGAACCCTGCCTTCATGGGTTGTACAAATTCTTAGCTGCAGAAACACTCTATCATTAAGCAAGTCACATACCACTCTTTCGGATTCTCTCTTCCAATAGATCAGCATGTCCAGCTGGAAGTTTCTTATTGAAAATCTCAGCTGACCGGAGGAACATAGCTTCAACTGCAGACCCTTTTAGCAAAGCAATCTGATCTTCATGGTCCAACGTCTGAAATCCTGCATGAAGGTGATAATGAAATCAGTATCAAGGAGTCGTAAATGCTATAAAACAGTATTCATCTTCACCATCATCCCCATCCTTCCCACTGATAAAACATTTTCATAAAATTATTTTGTAGTTGTTTTAAGATTGGATAGTCAAGCTGACTCAATAAGTATCTATTGTTCTCTCCCAAACAGAAGCTGGCTTTTATCTTCATTGTGTAGGATTTGATAAACAAGTTGGGTAAAAGAGGATCCACGTCAAATACATACATAGGTATATATATAACTGAGTGGCCAGATTATGATCTCTAAACGCATAATAATCTGACCACTTAGTGTATATCCTATCCTATATAATAAAAGGCTGATATGCAAATTGTTCCCTTAACCAAGAGTTTGACCAACAGGCAGGAGACAGGCCAGCCAAAAACCCATATCCCTCCCCCTGGCCAGGCTGGCTGGACCCCACCCATACACAAATTTATGTACTGGGCCTCTAATATATCATACACAAATTCATGCACTAGGCCTCTCTCTCTATATATATATATATATATTGAATGGTGAGATTATTACGAGTTCAGAGATCATAATAATCTGGTCCTCTAAGAGAATATATATTGAAAATATATATATATTATGGCAGAGATAGGCTGATGCAGATGAAACCCCTTAAAAGTCAGAGGCAGCCGAGACTGGTTTGGCTCAGTGGATAGAGTGTGGGCCTGCAGACTGAAGGGTCCTGGGTTCGATTCTGGTCAAGGGCATGTACCTTGGTTGCGGGCACATCCCCAGTGGGGGTGGTGCAGGAGGCAGCTGATTGATGATTCTCTCTCATCAATGTTTCTAACTCTCTACCCCTCTCTATTCCTCTCTGTAAAAAAATCAATATATATATATATATATATATATATATTTTTTTTTTTTTTTTTAAAGTCAGAGGCAAGCAGATTCTCTTTGAGCCATTATTTTAGTTGCATTTGGTGTCAGAGGTCAACTTTGCAGAATGGAAGTTTCCACAAGCCAGAAAAATTTTTATGTGTATCCAGAGATTTAAAGAAATATTTGGCCAACTCATGGATCTTTAGTCTACCTGGAGAATGTGTAGCATTTCCAATAAAAAACAAACAACGCAATCAAGATCATGTTGTGCTATCTTCTCTAAGCTCAGCCCTCCACCACGCAGGGCGAGGAAAATGACTGACTAAAGTAATGAATGGGAAACAAATACAAGCTCATGTGCACATGTGTACATACACACACATACCACGATTAGAGATAAAATAATTATAATGCCTTCAGGGTCTAAGTGGCCTAGGAGAGTATTAAATAGCAATGGGAGTTTAGAGGAGAGAGTAATGCTAAGGATAAAGAAGTAATGTCACTGTGTCAGAGAATCTAAGTGCTCCTTTGCGGACAGGAGACATGGCAGGTCTCTAACACTCTGGACAGACCTCAATGAACTGTGGAATGGAATCCCTCAACTCGGACCTTCACAAAATACTCTTTCATTATTAGTATTGCATAACTATTATTACTATTTGTAGTAATGTCATTTCTGTAATTATTGTTAAAACATTTTTTTCCTTCTCGAAGGTTGTCTTTTCTTTCCTTCTGTGTGTGTGTGTTTTCCCCCCTGCTACTTTGCTCATTAAACACACATTAATTATACTCTCTCCCTATCGACCCAGTCCAGGCACAGGATTGAAGAAGTGTGTAAGATACTGCCATTGCTTTCAGATAAGCTACCTTATTATAAAGAAAATTTTTATTTGTCCCCAATATTTCTTGGTTAAAGATCAACTGACCATTTGAAATGAAAAATCTTTCCCCATAAACAACAAAAAACATCATATTTCTTCCTTTCTAATATCTCTTCCCACAGTTTCTGACTCTTGAATAATCATGTTTTTGATCAAGATTGCCTTCAGCTTAATTATCATAAAACAAATTAAGTTTTGTTTTTCATTGTTAATAAAGAAATGAGAGAATATTAATGTTTCCATGATAACAAGAATTTTCTTGCCACATTTTATGAGTTTTATGTAGGCTTATGTTTATCTCTGACTCATTTAATGAAATAATAGCATAATGCTGGCAAAAGAAGGCAAATTAACATGTTTAATTAAAATCCTATGTCAGAAGTTACCTTCTGTAATTTAATATTACTATGTTAGCTATACAAGGTATTTATTATATTCTTCTATCTAGACCATGAGATTTTTAATGTACTAATATATTTTTTAAAACAACAAAACAACTTAAACCTATTGGCTCAGATTGCATTGAAATTGTATCTAAAAGAATTGGACTCTGGGAGATAAGTAGCTGGCATTCCAGTTTCCTGCACTGACACCATCAGAATGACTGGATAAATCCCTCTCCCTCACCTCACACATGATGGACACTTGTTCATCATGTGCTATCAATTTTTAAAAAATATATTTTATTGATTTTTTACAGAGAGGAAGAGAGAGGGATAGAGAGTTAGAAACATCGATGAGAGAGAATCACCAATCAGCTGCCTCTTGCACACCCCCTACTGGGAATGTGCCCACAACAAAGGTACATGCCCTTGACGGAACCTGGGACCTTTCAGTCCGAAGGCCGACACTCTATCCACTGAGCCAAACCGGTTTCAGCAAGTGCAACCAATTTTTAAATCTCTCTTTGTTTCCTATTCTCTCTCCCAGTGCTATTGCTTTATTTCAAGCCCTGTTGCTTGGACTAATGAAGTAGCATAGTAACTAATTCACCTTGCCTATAGTTCCTCTCTGTTCATATCCATCTAATACGAACCTAATAAAGTTATATCACTATAACATAAATCTCATCATTTCCATCTTTTAAAAAAGCCACCAAGAACCAGTGGATGAGAATTAATACCCTTAGTTAGGCCCTAACTGGTAGGGTACCAGCTTACTTTGTGTCTAACCAAGAAGACACAGACATTATGCTACAGCCACAGTGAATTTTCCCTTCCTTCTCTAATAATTCGCTTCTTACTCATGCCTCGTTATATTTTCACAAGCAGATTTCTTGATTTCAAATGACCCCTCTTCTTAATGTCACCGGAAAAGCTCTTTTTTGTTTTAGATCCAATGCAAATATGATTCTCTCAAAAGCCTCCTTATCTTTCTCAAATATAATCAGCAATTGCTTTCTTTTGTTCAAACAGCACTTTGCATACACTTTTTTTTTAATTATACCCTTCAATCACTTTCCTTGTAGGTAATAGCTAGGTATTTAATATAGAATAGTATCGACAAACATTAATAAATGAATAAATGGATGGATCACAACTTAGCAAAGTCACTATTCCTTAATTTATCAATTTGGAAGAATTAGCATAAATGATTTTAAATATCCTATCTGGCTCTAACATTTTATGTCTGTGGTAGACATATTAAATCAGATGTGAGATAATTCTCTTTTTGAACCAAACAGACTTGCCTCTCTTAATGTCACAAGAATATCACACAGTGTAGCAGAGAAGTAACTACATGTAAAGATACCTGGTAGCTTTTTTGTGAATTCTACAAGAATCTGTACATGACTGGTAGCCATTTCAGTTAAAATGAGAAAATTTTCTTCTGCACTGAATTCTTCTTTTAACTGAATTTTAAGAAAAAAGCAAATGATTAATAAGTAGATAAAAGGATAAAACAGTGTAAAATTATTAGGTTAAAGAACCAGACTTAGACAATAACATTTAAAAACCTAGTTCATATTTTTTAGGTCCTTGGAGAGCAATTATTATTACCAAGATAAATATAAGACTTCTTTCTCATTAGTTATTTAATGCTGCTAAAAGCTTAAATGTATAACAAATTCTTGGCTCTAATCATTTCAAAGTAACATGTTTATATATTAATTCCACCTCCAACATAGTAAACACCCAGAAAATATTAAGTTTAAGCCCATGCATTTTCAGATAGTGTACATACAATTTTATTTGTGATTTCCTGAGGCATCCTCTGTTTGCTATATGAATCCATAATATAATGTAGAAGATTCTGTTGATCCAGGGTGAGTTCATTTTTCTCCTACACTGGCAAAAAAAAATAAAATATATTAGGGAAGGTGGCTATAAGATATTCTCTTTCTCTCTATAGATAAGTAGATAGATAGATAAATAGATAGATAGATAGATAGATAGATAGATAGATAGATAGATAGATAGATAGATAGATAGATAGAGTGTATACACACACACACACACACACACACACATCAGGAGTAAAACAAATATCAGAAATTGTTGGGGAAAGCCCTAAATATAGCAGGATCTGTATACTCTGATTGTGTCATAACTTTTTCTGAGCTCCTGGGCAAGCCATGTCCCCATTTCACTAAATTTGTCCCAAGGTACTCATTTTCCTCTCTGTAAAATAGGGGAAAATAAACTATTTCTTTCCTATATTTCTTAGGAATAAATAATAATCTGAATATGAAGCTCATTGAGTCCATTCATAGAGAAGTTCAGTGCAAGTTCAAGGTTTGGCCATAACTTAGGAAAAGTTCCCCCATATAACATGGAGACTCCGTTTGAGGATATTTATGTAGAGCAGGGGCTGACACACTGGGGCCCATGGACCAAATCCACCTGGTTTTATAGATCCACTGGAAGATAACCGTATTCATTTGTTCATGTATTATCAATGCTACTCAACGCTGGGTAGTTGAGATGGAGACCATGTGGCCAAAGCCTAAAATATTTGGCACTTTATAGAAGAAAACTGCCGACCCCTAAGGTAGAGAGTCCTCCATCTAGACAATCCAGCCCCCAAACATCTCTTTCTCCCTTACTAGCATCTTTGGAAGAGGGTGAATAATTGTGTCATTCTTTGCTTCCTTATACCAAAGATGAAGCACTATGGCAAAATAATACTTTCATATCAAATACTTTCATATCAAATATAAAATGATATATCTGAAAAACTAAACGTGATTGATTTTTTTTTATCGGTAGTGTAATAAATATTAAGAAGGGCATAATTTGAACAAAAAAATAGATTGGTTTTTCAGCTAAAAATTAAATTAAAATTCCTTTAAATGCCCTGTGCATTATCAGTATGGTTAGCTAATCATACAAGATGCCATTCCTCTATTTGTCCCAAGTTGTCTCAAAGGATTCTTGGAGTGATCTGTGACCTCAGCAAAAGAGCTTTTCTCTATTGGTGCACAGATGTGCATTCACCCTGTTTTACCCATTGATAAAGACTGACTCGTGTCCTGGCCAGTTTGCTCAGTGATTAGAGCATTGGCCCATGGACCCAAGGGTCTTGGGTTTGATTCCTGACCAAAGACACATACCTTGGTTGCAGTTTCAATCCTCGGCCCCAGTGGGAGGCAACCAATCGATGTGTCTCTCTCACCTTGATGTTTCTTTCTCTCTCCCCCTCCTCTTCCTCTCTTCCACTCTCTAAAAAATTCAATGGAAAAAATATCCTCAGGTGAGGATTTAAAAAGACTAATTCGTAAGTCTATCGAGGCCACACCCTTCCCAGTCTGAACCTCCCTTCTCACTGGCAGGAAAATGGTCATTAAAACTCAGTTTGAAAAAAAAAAAATCCCTTTTATACACCAAACCATTTCTACTGGCAACCTCTGGGTAGTAGGAATGAAATGGAGCCAGGGAGAACTTTCCCTTTTGTTACTTTACACACTCCTACTATCTGACTTTTACACAGAAGGATGTATGACTCTCGTGATTAAAAGGAAACTCATTCACCTGTGGACACAGACAATGGGGTGGTGCGGGCCTTGGAGGGGGGTCAGAATGGGAGTGGGCTGGAAGAGGTTAATGTGAGGGTGGGGGGAGAGAAAACCTATAAAATACTTTCAAAAATAAAGATATATTTTTTAAGAAGAAAAAAGAAAGAAACCCACTCAATGCCCAGCTGAAGTGACATTCTGCTTGTGGCTGTGGCTCTAACGTGAAAGCCTTCCAGCCAGACCACGACATGCCTAGCAGCTCAGCGGCACTGGCTTTGGCAGACACCGTGGCGTGTTATTACCCTGCATGACTTCGTGGTCGAGGTCACTTGTCGCAGGTCACGCCCTTCGCTGTCTTCATTAACACTCTGATCTGCGTGCTGCTTCACGTTTTTTCTCAGTCGTTTGGATTTACACTGAATTTCAGTTAACAAGCCTAAAAAAATAAACATAGAGACTTAACCAACCATAAGAAAGTACTGTTGGGAAAGTACTGTCACGAGACTTGGCCTTGAACAAGAAATGTATCCTCTGTGAGTCTCAGCTTCTTTATTTGTAAAATAGGAATAATATCTACCTTGCATGGTTTTGTGGATATTAAATGTTATGTCATTAAAAAAAACGAGCTTTATATAAAGGATGTAATGCAAAGCATTGTACAAATGCAAGGGTTTTGATCCATACAATGAAGAACGACACTCCCTGTTCCTGTTCTAGGGAACTTTGAAAGTTATTGTTTCAAGACAGAATATTAATAGTATAACTGCACCATAAGGCATGTATTCAATTTCACATTAAGCATATAAGTAAACATGAATCAAACAAATGCCAAGATCCTTTAGGAAAAAAATTCCAATCCTGTTCATTTTCAGAACTGTATAGATGGTTGAGAACATAGTTAAAGATAAAAATAACTCCAGGGGACCTAGACATTTTCATTTGAATAATCATATACTATCATCATTAATTTATACTAAGCAGGGCTATAAAAAATAACATAGACTTCTCTTCCACATTCCTATTTAACTTCCTCATTCTCTCAATGTGAAGGAAATGAAATCCCAGGAATTTCCTTGTCCCGGGAATTCGGTTTATAGGATCGTATGAAAGCTTTGCACCTGTTCCTGGTCAAGTCTTTGTGCGTAAATAATAGTATAGCCTCTTCTATTCTAGGTGGCGTCATGAAAAATGTCCCCGGAGCTCCAGTGGGGACAAGGTCATGTTTAAGTGATGAGCCACATGAACCGCCTGGTATCGAGGCAAATGTTTCCATGGCAGGATCGGGTTCCAGTGGCCGCCCCTCCTGCAGTCTCCTGTTTCATACACACCGAGAGGCAATTGTGATCGGCCGCCATAAAACTTTCATCCTCCCGGCCTGGCATCATTTACACCGACCTATTTTCCGCCTCCTGCGTGCATTCTTTGTCTGGGTCCATCCCAGTGGCCTGCATGGTTTGGGAATAATAGCCCTGGAATCGCCTTCCAAAGGCTTTTCTTTCGTGTGGCATTCCCTCCCTGACTGTGATCATCCCCGTGGTGACATCTGTTTGTCTCCTTGTGTTTGGAGGGGAACAGGGCCTATCTCCGAATCTGAGCGGTCTGTAGGATTTGCAGAATGAAAAATGAATATGTTATAGCCCGGCATGCATTCCCAATGCTGATGGAGATTACGGTTCCTCACAAAGCCAGGAGTGAATACACTGTCTTTTTTTTTTCTTATCAGATGGAAGGGCCAAATGATATTAAAACTTGGGGGAGTTAATTTCCTGTGTAAATCTATACAAATTGGTTCAGAGCTGCAACCAAAAAAAAAAAAAAAAAAAAAAAAAAAAAAGATTCTTAATAAAATGACTTGATTTAAAACTCTAGGTGACAATTCAGTGGCAGTTAGACCTTCTTCTTAATTTTCCCCACAACTGTGAATTTTTATGCTAATGAAACAAAAATTTAAAAAGATATCAAATTGAATTTGGAGGAAACTTTTAGACTGTCATTCTTTGTAAGTTATTAAATATTGCCACTCCGCTCCATGTCTCATTGCAACAGTGAACAACAAAACACAGCTGTTTTTTTTTCCAGGTGAATGAAATGCTCTTTAGCTGACAGTTTGGACAATTTAGTGGTTAATGATCCTTTCCAAGAACTTATATGGCTTAGTAAGTCCCTTCTTTGATGTGTGAAGAACCATTCTAATTAGACGCGTTACCTGGCTTCTGCCTTCTTAAGAGATATTTAGTGGAATTTAATTGCTTGATGCGAATACCTCTATACATACATTCAGCCAACATTCCCATCTCTTTGCATTTCCTTAGTCGACACTCCTGGCACTTCCTTCGCATGTACATGTCCATCACACAGTTGCCTCCGTTTTTACACTTGTACACGGCATTTTTGGTGATGCTTCTCCTGAAGAAACCTGCGGCAGAAACACAGACAGGAGTGAAAAAACTCCTCACACCGTCTGCTCAGAAAAAACACATTTGGACTGAGATGCTCAAGAATTTTCTCCTGGACCCCTGGAGAGCAGCAGCTGCTAGGTAATCCTTGTGTGCACTGTTGACAAAGTGCTTTCAATTGCACTGCAGCACCCAGAAAGCTGCTGTTTTTAATTCATCTCTCAAAAAATAAAGACATGTTTCCCTGATAGCCTTTCTAAGGAAAAATAAACAACCCTCAGTTCATTGTTTAAGATAAATTATGTTCACCGAAACCGGTTTGGCTCAGTGGTAGAGCGTCGGTCTGCGGACTGAAAGGTCCCGAGTTCGATTCCGGTCAAGGGCATGTACCTTGGTTGTGGGCACATCCCCGGTAGGGGTGTGCAAGAGGCAACTGGTCGATGTTTCTCTCTCATCGACATTTCTAGTTCTCTATCTCTCTCCCTTCCTCTCTGTAAAAAAATCAATAAAATATATATTTTTTTAAAAAGATAAATTATGTTCATTATATCTTCATGGGGGGGGTCAATTATGGGCCAGTGTACTTATTCTAAGTGCTAGTGGTTCAAAGGTAGGTAAGTCATCCCTGCCCTCTTAGCATCTACAGCAGTGGTTCCCAACCTTTCTAATGTCGCGACCCTTTAATACAGTTCCTCATGCTGTGGTGACCCCCAACCATAAAATTATTTTTGTTGCTACTTCATAACTGTCATTTTATAAATTAATTATTTAAATTAATTTTGTTGCTACTGTTATGCATCATAATGTAAATATCTGGGTTTTCTAATGGTCTTAGGCTCTACAGCAGTGGTTCTCATCCTGTGGGTCACCTAAGACCATCGGAAAACACCGTTATTTACATTACGATTTATTAACAGTAGCAAAATGACAGTTATGAAGTAGCAACAAAAATAATTTTATGGTTAGGGATCACCACAGCATGAGGAACTGTATTAAAGGGTTGCAGCATTAGGAAGGTTGAGAACCACAGATCTACAGGCTGGCTGAGGGCCAAGCCATGCAAATAATCAAATAAGTAAAATTTAGCCTTCCTGGGCTGTGCTGGAACAGAGGAGGCAGAGGGAATGGTTGGTTCTGGGGGGAGAAGTCAGACTCAGAGGTGAGTGTTGAGCTAAGTCTTGAGGTTGAGTCATTATTGCGGAGAAAGAGAAACCATTACAGGGTTTTGGGTTTGGCAGGGCAGGGTATGACCTAATGTGCATGTTGGGAAGAAAGGTGAACAGGGAGACTAAAGACAGGAGACTGTGACCAGCCAAGAGGTGATCAGGCCTGGACTTAATGTGGGAGGCAGTAAGAACAGGGAAGAGGCAATAGCGGAACAATCATACCTTGGTGACTAACTCAGTGTGAACCAGGGACTGAAGGAAGAGTGAGAGATGTCAAGGCTAAAAGAGTATTAGACTTTGCTTGTGAATTTGTTGGTTGGCAAAACTTGCAGTAGAAAAGATGTTACCATTTTTTACCATAACTGTCAAATTCAACCACGGAGAGTATATAAAAAATTAAAATTAAAAAATTCTGTGAGTCTGTGCTTCAGATCAAAGTTGATACTAGGAGTGCAAATACCAAAGTATGCATTTTAAAAGAGACTACAGGCAAAAAAAAAAAAATTATTTTCCTGATTCCAGATCATTGAGCTCAGTGACAAACTTAGCCTATCTGAGTCAATCTTTCTATCAATCTTCAGCTCCTGCCAAGAATAATTCCATTTAATACAGTCAGATACTGATAGCTCAATAGTTAACAGAAATAAGACTCCTTACTCCAAGAGTCAAGGAACAGTGGCTAAGAAAAATCTGCAGGTTTTTTGCTCCGATATTACTCAGAAAATCATTATCATCTCAATAGCTGAATTGATTAGCTTTCACTCTGAGGTGGCAATATTATATTATCACTACATCACTTAAATAAAAGTGCATATACTATTTTTATACTTATGCAAATCTATCCATACACATATCTCTGATTCTATCTTGTGCATATTCAACAATGCCCCTGTCAGAGAAGTCATTTGAAAATGAATGGAAAGGAAATTCACTGAGGAACAGAGACCCTTGGTAACAAAAGAGTAGACAGAGCTGGTATTGCACGATGGGGCTGGCAGGAAGCCAGCTTTAGGATGGTAAAATGGATCCCTAAAATGTGCAGAATATTGCACCTTCTTCTTTTCTCCTTCTTTATACGCATGGAATCCATACACCACACCATACTCTCAACTCATACGTGTGCATGTGCACATACGTGGGCACACAAACACACACACAAGCCAGACTTCAGTAACTGATAGTAGGCTACCCATCACTTGGAAACTATGGTTGTTTATAACTTTAAAGGTCTCCACCTTTTTGGAAACAGCAACAAACACAAAGCCGAGCAACTAGTGAGCTTTATGACCCAAACAGTTAGCCATTAGATCTGTCTCAGCACAATGGAGGGTAAAGGTTCCCTCCATCCCCCCATTACCTTACATAGGATTAATTTTCTAAACACTTTGCAAATGCTGATGCATATAATACTCATAACAATCCTAAGATATAGAGTCTATTACACTAGTGCCATGGTCGGCAAACTGCGGCTCTTTGGCCCCTTGAATGTGGTTCTTCCACAAAATACTATGACCTGGGCGATTCTATTTTGAAGAAGTGGTGTTAGAAGAAGTTTAAGTTTAAAAAATTTGGCTCTCAAAAGAAATTTCAATCGTACTAATGATATTTGTCTCTGTTGACTAATGAGTTTGCTGACCACGGGTCTAGTAAATCATTGATTTTGACTGCTATATAAGGAGGCTCTCTCTTGTCTGGGTGATTTAAAAGCATAATTCATCAGTGAGCACCTCTTATTTTTCCTTTATTGGCACTAGGGCTTACACCTAGTATTAATGCTGCTTTTCATTCTGTCATTTTGGGTTCAAACCCACCTCTGTAATAGCCACCACTGAAGGCAGACTTTGGTAGACTTTGAAAAACTTCTTTTACTTGAGGCTCCATATGCTTCATGGCTTGCAAAATATAACGGCCTGCACATCCTGCAGCAGCAATAGTCACTCCAACCGCTACCATTGTAATGGCCACGGGACTCTCAGAGGCTTTTCAATGAATGAGATCACTCTTCTTTTTCCAGTCATTTAGGAATTGCTCTGTGGGAGTTTGCCCTGCAAGCAGCTCTGAGTCTGTTTCTCCTTTTGCCCTCACTTATTAATAGAAAGGGCAGGCTCAAAGCCTAAACCATTGGAAAATACCCTATTGATAAGTTGATCGACATTAGCTACAGGATAATGTTGGGGTTTTTTTATATTTCATATAAGAATTTTTTGAAAGCTCAACTTATTCATCAGCTCAACCACAGAACTTGGAAAGAAGTGCAGTCTACCTTATTTTATGAACATAATAAATTTTTACAATTTTTTTTAAAAGTTTGGTTTGATTATTTGGCCTAATGATTTTCGATGGCCAAGAAATATATAATCTTCCATTCGGGCTCAGAATAAAAGGTATTGTCATAACTGTAAATAATAATAATGACAGAACTCTCACATCCTTCATTTCAGCTCACGTGTCACCACTTTATAGCAGTATCCTTCATGAAGTCCACTCATCTTTCTCATTGTCTTTTTTGCATTCTTTACATCGCTTGTCTCTATTAAAATTATCTTACCATTTTTTGAAGAGTTCATTCTTTTCTGTGGTTCAAAAATCAACAGATATGAAAGGATATAAAGTAAAACATTTCCTCCCCATACCTGTCCTCATGCTTCCTAGTTGTCCTTCTCAAAGAAAACCCACTGATACCCTCACCCCTACTTGGGAGGATGAGGGGAGAGGTAATGATACTCTGCATGAGCTTGGCTTTGCATGATTTTTAAGATTCCATTTAGATTCCCCGCTAGGCAAACTCTCGGGAGTTGGGGGCTTAGTTTCTAGGAAGAGACATAGTTTTGAAGATAGTATATGCTCCTAATTAGGGAGGCTGGATAAACAGAAAAATAACAATGATGAAATAATTAATCAATAAGATAACAATAGCCAATTCTCACTGAGCACTCAATTGTGCCAGATATAAAGACAGATATTTTAAAAACAATATCTATTTTCTACAAGAACCCAATAATAATAGTAATAACAGCAGACATTTATTGAGGGTTTACTATTGGCAAGTACCAGGTCAATTGCTTTACACACTTTAACTTATCTTAAAAAAAAAAAAAAAAAAAAAAACCAGAAAGATCTAAAATCAGTAATCTAACCTTATACTTTGGGAAACCAAAGATACTCCTGACAACCCCTAGATACCAACCTCAAAGGGTTGTCCTGAAGAGTAAATGAGTTAGTACATCTAAAGGCCCCAGATAAAGCCTGCCCATAATATTCACTTGATATGTTATCTACCTTTCTTTCCCCTAATTCCTCCTCCTCCTCCTTTACTTCCTCCTCCTCCATCATCACCACTGCTGCCACTGCCATCATCATCATCCCACTCTCATTCTTGTCCTCTTTATTACCATCCTCATTTTGCAGGTGAGGAATCTGAAGCCCAGAGATGTTAAGTAACTTGGAACAGCTGGGAGAGAAATGAGCTGGGTTGGAATCTATCTAGGCTGACTGCTTTCAGAATCCCACTTTTTTGTGATTTTTATAACACGTGACAAAAGGCTTCCAATATCAGTGAAACAGTTTAAACACCACCCCTGGCATCACACTCTTAGATCATTTGATCTACAGAGACCATGAGGACCATTGCTAGTATTAAATTTTATAGAATCCTATAAAATGTGAGGCAAGGCACCTCAGCCCTGATCCATAAACAAAAGAGCTACTGAAAACACTCTACCTCTATTCTACCCACTACAATGGTTTCAACGATTCTGGAATCTTTTCTAAACCTTTAGAACTAAGTCTAATGCTGGTTCACTATCTTCTATTAAAAGTGTTCAAAAGGACAACAGGTCACCCATTTATTCATA